GAGCCTCTCCACCCCTCCCCTGGCGAAGCCCATGAGAGATGTGCTCGGTATTCTCAGCCGGGAAATCACGTCTCGCAGGCGTCAATCTAAGAAGTCCGTAATCAGGTGCCCCGCGTAATCCACTATGTTTGTCAGGAGACAGATTTGTTCCTGAATGTACCATTGGCTCCTGACTGGCCTCCGTGCTCGCGACGTGCATCACATGTCCATGGCATTGCGCCATTCCAAATTCACGCGGATCACGCATGCGCTCTATACTGTGGGCAACGGGAGTCCCTGATATGCGCGATGAAACGCCGGGATAGGCCGGCGAGCACGATCGCCTCGATCAATAGAAACAACCATCTTCCAATTTTACTCATCAGCGACTGTGTCGCGCGAGGCATCTGGTCTTAGTGACTGATTCCAATGCGTCATCAATGTTGCGCGCTCAAGCAGCAAAATGTCATCGGCCTTTACCCCGGGGGTTTCAACTGCGCCCGGCGATGACACGGTTAAACCGCGCAACGCAAGAGCAGCCGTGGCGCGCGTGATTCCATCGCTTACCACTTTCCGGATGAGGTCACCGAAGTACACCCGCCCGCCCGATGATCGAGCATATTCAGCGCAATGGCTGGCCACGCACACTGCGCATTCTCCAGCGGGGTGAGCTATGGGATGACTGCGGTGACTGCGCCTTCGCCAGGAGTCAGAACTGCCCGACATTAGGGATTGGTCGCCCTGTTTCGTCATTTACGCCTCCGCTTCATCGGCTAAGCCGGCAGCGCCCGAAGGCGAACTGAAAGGAGAGAGAGAGAGAGAGAGAGAGAGAGAGAGAGAGAGAGAGAGAGAGAGAGAGAGAGAGAGAGAGTAGAGAGAGAGAGAGAGAGAGAGAGAGAGAGAGAGAGAGAGAGGAGAGAGAGAGAGAGAGAGAGAGCAGAAAAAAAAGGAGCAGGAGAAAGAGAAAGAGAAAGAGAAAGAGAAAGAGAGAGAGAGAGAGAGAGAGAGAGAGAGAGAGAGACAGAGAGAGAGAGAAGAGAAAGAGAGAGAGAGAGAGAGAGAGAGAACAAAAAAAAAGAAAAGAAAAATATCGAAAGAGAGAGGGAGATAGAGAGAGAGAGAGAGAGAGAGAGAGAGAGCCGGGTAAACCTCCAGGGGGTGATAATGTGGCTGGTCATATGAATAAAATTCTGCTCTGAGAAATCGGATTGCTTGTCTAGGCCTGCCTGCGCGCATCTCCCCGAGCAACGTAAACGCAGGGTCATGTGCCATGCGAGCGTTTTCTTTGATCGCTTTCTAGGCGCGCCCGCGGATCGCTGCGATGTGAGGCGGCGCAGGGCCAGCCCCCTGAGCTTCGACAACTTGGTGTCGAATCTCGTCAGACGTTTCGCGACGTATATCAACGCCTTTCGGATGTTCCAAATCTAATCTCCCCCCGGTAATAGAAAACGTTGCATGGCTGATACTCCTCGTTCGCCCTTGGGCGTCTTGCCCCCCTGGACGGAGCTGTTCGTGGTCGGGGGGTGGCAGAAATGTCAGACGCAAGAATAAATCCGCGGCTCCTGGGCGAATCTCGGAATCCGCCTCTTCCGAAAATGACGGGTGAGACCTCTCCCAGGAATCGGGGATTCCCAGTCGATTGTCTGTCTCTGACGGCGAAGCCGCAGGGCGTGAATCCTCTCCTTCTTCTATCTACGCGGTGGCTGCATCGTCAACGGCGCCGGCTACTGGGCCAATTCGCGGAGCCAGCAGCGCGCCGGGCATTTGGGACATCGCCTGGCGCAGCAAAATCCGCATAGCGCATTTCAATAAACTAAACGCTAAGAATAAATCCAATTTTGGGCAATGCGTATTCAACTGGTTCATGCGTCTTCCCCCGTGCTCTCGTCAAATAACGTCTCGCCCAGTTGATCATGTCTTCTTTTAGGCACTGGGCCCCCCACCAGAGAGGGCCCTTGCACCTCCAAGCGGATTTCCGCCAGGACGCACATGCCAGAGCCATTTCAACTTGTTCTCGAATAAAAGTGCGGCTCGGCTCGACTCCAGTCCAACGTGCGCATCCAAATGGCCTCTAACAACAGTTGACGCGGAGTCATGATCCCCGAGGTCCCTTGGAGGCATCAGCTTCATCCTCTTGTAATCACACCGATCGCGGATCGTCCAACACTGGGTCCGCAGTATGGGGGGCCTGGTAGGTCGAGCACATATGTTTTGCGCCCCGCTGGGGTATCTATCTCAATTGCTCTTTTGCTAGCGCTGGCTAAGCCAGGCTGCTCTATTTGGCCATCAGCCGACGCGCCAGATGCCCCTCCCTGAGCCCCGATTCCCTCCTGGGGGGATCCTTCGGCGGAGGCTCCGGGAGCGCGGGCGCGGTTGCCAGGCCTCCAACGCCCGGCGCCCCCGTCGGTATTGGTAAAAGAGGATTTCTCAAATAAGGGCCCCAGGCTTCCGGGATGTCAGGCGGAGGCGCCTTCGCCCCTCCCTCGGGGGTCTGATTAGGATCGCTTGGCTTAGCCAATGACTTCGGAGCAGGCCGAGCGGGCGGCGGAAGCGGCTTCGCCGCGCGGTCCGATAGGGGCCCCCAGGGTTTCTGTCTCCAGGCGGCGGGGCCGCTGGAGACAGGCCCCGTCTTTGGCATCGTTGCCCGACTGAGCGGCCATCGCGCCCCCTCTGCTTTCCGGCGCAGGCGGGGCAGGAGACCTAACAAGCCTTGCTGGTGGCGGCTTAGGCGGTCTTGCGCTCTCAAGTGGAGACAGCGGCCTCGGTGGGCTCGGACTAGCAGAAGGCGGGAGCATTAGCTGCACCTCCCTGACGCCCAGCGCCAATGCCACCCGGTGGAACCGGCGGCAACTGCGCATCGGCAACAGGAGTCAAACCAGAAGCAGACCCGCCCGCCAGCTGAGCCGGTGGCTTGGCTTCAGCTTCGTCATAGGTTTGGCTATCCGCCATCTGACTATCCTCTTAAGTTGCTCCGTTCAAAAGCGTGTGAATATATGCAAGGCAGCATCCCTTGTCTAACACATATGCCCAATCATGTTCCATTGGCGGTGATAAGCCGGATACAGCGAAACATGGACGTGCCATTCTATTGGTTAGTGTCCAGGAATCCACTGACATTGTTGATGTCTGAATATGTTTATCTGGTCAGCTCGTTGTTGGTTCCTCGTCCTCTCAAAATTGAAATCGTTATCTATAGACTCGTCGTCTTGCAGTTGGTTTCTCATCAGCGGCCACGCGCTACTCCCATTCGCATAAAACGCGGCGGGGGCCCAATGGTAGATGCGTTCTCAGCCGTTGCAATCTGAACGGGGTCCCCCTCGCATCGTTGCGCGGGACCACCGTCACCCGTGATGCTTCGGGTTACTCCAGAACACAATCTCCGCAGTGTTCCAATAACCGTCGTTGAACATTTCCTCCGCCATCGCGTATCTCGCGTGGATGGAGGGGTTGCCGTCAGCATGCGAGAATGAATATACTCCGCCGTTGGACTTCTCCACATTGCCCCCGTACTCGGGGTCCGATAGAAAGATTTGGTATCCGTCTAAAAATGCATGAAGCGTCCCAACGGATGTTCCGTGGGACTGCCTGGTCCAATTCCTGCCTGCAATCAAGTATTCCAGTTTCGCCTCGTTCACCTTAAGAGGGTGTGTCAGTTGGACACAGTGCTCCTTTTCTGCGTGCTCTTGGACTGCCGCCTTCTCCCACGCGACGCGGTCAGCAATGGTTCTTGGCTCTCCCGATCGCGTCGTGCAATGAAGAATTTTGCCCAATTCGGAATCGCATATTCAGCGGAGAGAACCGGTCGCTTGGTTGACTCTTGAAGCAATTCTTCTGCTAGCCACTGGTCCCCGTGCGATGACGCACATCGACGTTTGCAAGCGTCACGATTCACAAACGTTCCCTCGCTCCTTATCTTTTGCAACAATTGGTCGTCGCTTTCTCCGGGCCACAAACTGATCGGGCTACAGAGCCGTTTGGCCAGCTCTTTAGCATTCAAAGGCTTCAAGAATACAATTCGATCATCGCCCTCACTCACAGTAGTCGTAGACTGATGCGAAAACTCGATAGGCCACCTACGAATGCCGTCTTCGCCAGGAAGAGGGACAATTCTCTGACTTTGATCGCTCACTTTTCCTCCTTTGAATTCAAGGCATTTCTCCCTCAGCATTCGCTCAAGGCAATCCGGGGGAGACTCAGCGGCCGGTGCCTGAGTAGGCTCAACCGATCGCGCTGGGAGCTTTGTTGGACTTACTGTACGGCTGCGCCAGGTCCAACGAGATCTCCCGCACTATCCGGGCCCTGCGCGGCTGAGCCGGCAGAGCCAGCAGTCGGCGCACCTCCTTTTGTCTCGACCTGCAATTGCTCAGTTTGTCTAGCAGCGAGCTGTGGGAAAGATCGCGACCGATTTTGAAGTAAATTGGTCGCGATCGATGCCAAAGTTTGAAACAAAATCGGTAGAGACCGTTCTCGTCGGTCGCGACTGGAAGATTCGAGTACGAAATGATCAAGGTATGGGGGGGGGGCCCTCCAGGGCCGTTCCCACTTCGGTGCCCCCGAGCAGAACCAAGGTTCTCTTTAGCGCGTGTTCTACCCGAAGAGCGACCCGCGCGTGGATGCGTGATCGCGCGCATGCGTGGGGCGCTGGGCATCTCCGCGCAAAACCGCCCCAAGGTCGCGGCTCAGGAGCGAGGGCCGCGAAGCCGTGGATATGAGCCATGGCCCCACGCGCTCAGAGGGCATAGCTTACACCCCGATCCTCGACTTTGTTAACCTGTCGACCAGGTCAGGAACTCGGGACCGAGTGAAGATATACGAGCGGGGGGACCCGCCCACCCGCCGCCTTGAAGGCGGTAATAGACATCACCGTCACGTTCAAGGCGGCGGTCATCCTCCATGCGGGTGCGTTCGAGCAGTCTACGATTGGGGGGTGTATCCCCGAGCGCCCCTTGCGACCAGTCCTTGGGGTGGGGGGGAGCTGGGGGATTGGGGGGCCGAGGGCCCCCACGCGCAAGCCACGAGTCCTCTTGAGCGCGTCGTCGATCTCCCGCTTGATGTCGCGGCAGAGCGCGCCCTGGTCCGAGGAGTAGACGACGTTGTCCAGCGTGTACGCCTGCAGCTCGCTCTGCACGCGCGCAGGGTGGCCGATGCGCACCACGGACCGGCAGCCTGCCGGCATTTCGGGTGCAAGGGGGGCGGAGGGCATAAAGAGGGGGGAGAGGCGTGGGAACGCGGGAAGACGAGCGTGAGGGAAGAGCATCCCTGCCTCCCCCGGCCTCGGCCCCGCGCCAACAGCCGCTTTATGGCTGGGGGGGGAGGGGACGCTTTTTGCCTGCTGACGTCTGGCGCGGCCACTAGGAAAACGAGGAGGAGGAGGAAAGGGGCGGGATGGGCAATTGCGGTGAGGGCATTGGAGAAGGAAATATTGCATAAAGAATCCAGGGTCTGCAAGCCGGTGGAATCTCAATTGTGGCCTTGGCAATGGAATCACCACCACCTCAATCAGCCAAAGCACCTTCTGGGGTATGACGCCTCGTGGGCGCATTCCTTAAGCAACGCCGCCACCGCAGGGGGCGCACACGTCAACGGGGAAGGCAACGACGGCGACAGGCGCGGTTCATGCCTCTGTGGCTGGGGGCCGCCCGGTAATGCAATTAACGCCGCACTCGGTCTGCCATGCCGCTGGACCAAGACAGGGCGGACACACTGGCATGGGCGGTTACAAAACATGATTCTCCATGATTGTTTTCGGACGCCTTTAGCTACACCGTGACAGGCCAATACGCAGCTGTGAGAAGGCAAAGGCTGTGCTGAACTCTGCCGTGCTTTGCCGAGAAACTTTGATGGAACGAACAGACAGGACATCGAACCAACAACGTCCTCAAAAACCATCGCCACAAGATCTTGCCGGAGCCGTGCCTCCCAGCAGGGGTGATGCAGCCTGTCGGCATGATGCAGATCGGAGGCGGCGTGAGCGGTATGCGGTCGCTGGATACTGCGGATCGGAGCCGCGCTGGAGTCGGCCTACATTCGACGTAAAGTCGAACAGATCCGTTAGGTGAGATCCAAGAAGGTCCCCCAAACGAACATCTGACGAGCGGATGCGGAAGACTTGCTGAGACCTTAGCGAGGTCTATGACTGAGTTGACTTCTGCAAGGCTGCTGCACCTGAGGCAGATAGCTCTGGCACGTAGAGTGTGCGGGTTGACGTGCAAGCTGCGTCCCTGGGATTTGTGTAAGGACGACCTGAAGGCGACGACTCTCGTCTGGGCCCATCCATGGCAGCGGCAGGGCTGTGCGGAGGGGCTGGCCATCGCTCAGGTCATCCAGATCCGGGAGTTGGACAGAAAGGACGACATGGGATCTGCACGTGCGGCTCTCGCAGTGCAGCCCTGCGAATCGCGGTGCCCCAGCCACTCGTGAGGAGCGCGTCGTCCGAGATAGGCACGGGCCAAATGGGTACGATGCCCAACAGCATGTCGCCCACGACCGACAGCGGCCGCTGTTGGGCAGGCGTCTTTCTGTCTGAAGCTGGCAATGTCCGCGGCGACGCCAGCATAGAGTCCTGTGCAAATGGGCGGGAACTGCTGTCGGGATTCGCTGCCCATTTTTTCAGTACCCAACTCGATCCTGTAGGGAAGAAGTTGATGATGCGACGCGGGGGTTTGTTTGAGTCGTGCTCCAACGGTGCACTAACTAGGCGGGGCGGGTGGCCCGAAAAGTAACAAAAAAATCATGGGTGCGCTCCTCCCCGCTGCGGCCTCCACGAAGGAGCCGAGGAGGCTACCTCCTGACTCCTGACGTCCAACGGGCGGGCCTGGCGGGCCCCTCGCGCAGACCGAGAGAGCTTGGTTTCTCGGTCACACGCCGACATGGGTTAGGGATCCGTGGGCCTGGCGCGAAGGCGGTGCACCCACGGATCGCTTCGCTCCTCCTCCTCCCGCCGCCGCCTGCATCCACCACCCGCTCGAGCAGGTTGTCGACCGCCACGTTGGACGGCGCCGTGACGAGCAGCCTGGGAGGGCCGTCGGAAATCGAGGGGGGGGGCGAGGAGGGCGACGGCAGCCTCGACGAACTCGAGTCCTCCTGGATGTATCGCCGATGCGTCGGCGATGCATCGGCCGTGCATCGGCGACGTCGGCGATGCACCGGGCTTCACATTGAACCGCATCGCCGATGCATGGGCGATGCATCGGCGATGGGGCGCGATCTTCCGACCCCATCTACCCTGACCCCACCGAATAAGCCCAGATGAGTGCGAGGATAGGAGGAATTGGAGGAAGAGGCGAGGCAACGAGAAACATAGAGGAATAACACACCACATGAACATAAACTTGTGGAAGTCCGCGCGGATCCAAACAATCCGCGCGGAACGCCAAACGTTTATGCTTATGGCGTTTTTTTTCGCGAGACGAGGAAGCGAGAAGCGGAAACGAGGACGAGGCGGACGGGCAGGAGCGGCGGGAGGCCGAGAGGAGGACGGGACCGAGAGAGGCTCGGCGTGGCGCTCCGTGGCAGCATGCGGCACTCGGTGGAACACTGCGGCATGTCAGGTTGGTCTCGAGCGCAACAGATACCCGTATCCTTACCCAGGCGGGGTGGCAAGGGGCGGGGGGAGCGACACGCCGCAGCCGACGGCGGATGCACAAATGCACATGCGACGCCCCCTAGAACATGACAGGGCGCGGTCTTCTCCGGGAATCCGCTGGTGCCGAAGGCGCGTACGTTCCAATCGGCAGAGTGGCCGACCGCGCATTGGTCGCTCTCGGGCTAAAGCAGCTCGCTCGGAGGTGCGCCCAAGACGGCGCACAATCAATCGATTGGGGCTGACGCGCAAAATGCGTCCTGGGTGTCCCCGGCGGGGGCCGCTGCAATCCCATGATCGCCCCAAACGCCTGGGGCCCCGAACGCCAGGCGCGGTTGCCAGGGGCTGCTCCCTGGAAAACCCGCCTGGCGTCACCACAGCTAGGTCCGGGTACGTGTCGGTGGGCACCGTCGCCGACGCGCGTTGATGGTACCCCGGGGACGTACCCGTACCTAGTCGAGGTAGCGTTTGGCCGAAATCACTCTCGGGCGCACGCGCGGCCCCCGAGAACTCTCCCGAACGCGGCCGCAGCGGCCCCCAGGGGAGCGTGAGATTGCAACGGCGCTCCTGCGGGCAGGCCCAAATGCAACGGAGAGGTGGCGCCTGTTCCCACATGGGACAGGCACAACCACTCCAATGATGTTCTAAACCCCGCGGACACCCCCCATGCCCCCAGGCGTTCCTGACGCAAACCAGGGCATGTCGCTGCAATCGAACAACCAGCCATTCAGCGTGTCGTTGCATCCTGACGCGCGGCTGCTGAACCAGCGCGCGCGCGCGGCAGGCTGCTCGGGCGCATTGGCAAGCGCCCAATCCAGCGGACGGCCCTCTTCACCCACCGACCCCGGTTAAGGGTAATTATGTCTAGGACAAATGAATTGGAGGCTGCACCCCCAAAGCATCCGACACCGGCCCGAAAATGGCAGCCCGAGGAAGTGGAGGAGGAGCGCCTCAGTGGGCCCTGGAAACGTCAAAGCTTTACTCATCGGTTCCGTTAGCGGTTTCCTGCCGGTTCCGCCGCCGCAAGTTGAGCCTCGCCGAACACAGCAGCATCCCGGAAATATCAGCGGCTCGGGCGAGAAGGGAGAGGCGGGAGGAGGCGGGAGGAGCTGCACCGAACGAACAGCCAACACGGAGCCATGCCCAAGGCCACCGTCCTCGGCGAGAGCTCTGGGGACTTTGAAAAACGCCTGGTGGACAAGGCTTGGAGTCGGCGGGAGTCTGAACTGGACGGCCCCGAGGAAAGGCTGTCAAGAGGGGAGATCCGTTCAAAATCGATCCCCCCACACCTCCTGGCGTCCATCTGGAGCAACGCTCCACCTCGGATCCGTTTTTGACAATCCCGAGGACCGAAAACGGGCCCAAAGAGACCGAAGAAGGAGAAAAACCTCCTCGAACCCGGAGAATTCCCCCCGGTCCTGCTCGCCAGAACCAGTGCCGGGCCACCTCAGACCGCCGGCCGGCCCAAAGCCCCAACCACGGCGTCAAGCCAAACGGCCCATGAATCCGTGACCGCGGGGGAGCGGCCCGGTTTTGAAGCAAATCGTTCGCGACTGATCCGGTATTTGAAGCGAGATCGGTAGCGACCGGTCTTGTCGACCGCGACCAGATAATGCGGATATCCAGCGGTCAGGGCACGGGAGCATGGGCCAATCTTCCTTGACGCGCTGCGTGACGGCGCCCTTCCCCCCAAATTCACCTACCACGAGATCCACCAGACGCCCTCGCCGAAACACACCTGCGCGACGAAGAGAAACGGGCCTGATGCGCGATGGCACAGCGATCTTACGCGGCGGGCTGACGCGGGCCGCTTGCGGCGTGGCACGCTGCATTGAAAACGAGGGCACTTGAGCACGACCTTACTCGGGTCGGGCGAAAGGGGGGGATAGCAAAGGGGGGGTTGAGAATCAGCTCACGTAGCTGATTTTCCCGGCGCCTCCCGGCGCCGGAGGCGGCTATGTATCGAGGAACAGGCCCCTCGGTGGGGCCGAAACCAGCTGCATGCAGCAAATTTCGTAACCCCCCCTTTCCCAATCCCCCCCTTTCGCCCGGCCCGAAGTAGGACCCAGGCCAGAATAACATCCTCCTAAAACATGAGGCCCTCCGCCGGCCCAAACGAAAGCACATTCGAGAGTGCCCTCCCCTAGGATGCTCGAGGACATCTGACAAGCACGAAGAGCAGTAGGGTCCCCCCCCCCCTTCCGAACGGGCCTCGATTATACAGCCTCGGTCCGACTGCAGGTTTCGCGACCCGCGAGGGCCTCTTCACCACCTGCAGAACGGGGCGGGGAGGGAGGAGGAAGGGAGCAAGGAGCAGGGAGGAGGGAGGAGGAGGCCTCACTTCTCCCCCTCAGGTTGACGCCATTGGGCACCAGACGAGACACCAACGGAGGTCTCCCTGGCCTTGCCGAACGGCCTTGCCCTGGCCGCTGCGCCCTTGCTGCGCGGCCTTGGCCCGGCCGCTGGGCGCAGGGAGGCGCCCGCGCGCAGTGACACGGCGGCGTGCCGCACGGCGGGCGCGCCGCACGCCCTGCCCTGGGCACGGTGCGCCCACCGCCCGACACGCCTGGGGGTCCTGGGGAGGAGGAGGAGGAGGAGGAGGAGGAGGAGGAGGAGGAGGAGGAGGAGGAGGAGGAGGAGGAGGAGGAGGAGGAGGAGGGGAGGAGGAGGAGGAGAGGGGGAGGGGGAGGGGGGAGGAGGGGGAGGGAGTCCTCGGGACTAGAGCAGCGTCACGCGGTGAGGCTGCGGGCGTCGGGCTGACGGCCCTCCACCGGGCAGTCCCGGCTGGCCTCCGCGGGCCCCCCGGGCAGCCTCGGCTGGCCCCAGCACGTCGCCCGAGCAGTCCATGGCGGTCTCACTCCGGACCACTCGGGGAGCCTGCCGAAGCCAGCCGAGGCTTCTCGAGGGGGCCTGCTGAGGCCAGCTGGGACTGCCTGGGAGGGCTGTCCGTGCGCAGCCGGAAGCTTTACCGCGTGATCTTGCCAACGGCGCAGGATGCATCTCAGGATCCCTGGAGAATCTGGCGGGCCTCGCCTATGGGGTCCGCGCGGGGCGGCGAGACAGCCTGGTCGGTCCATGATCAATGCTGGTCCACAGCAAAGACACGATGCGCCCGAGGCACTGCAGATCGCGGTCCGCAAGTGCGCGCCGCTCCTCCCCGCCCCCGAAGAGCCCCTCGATCGCAGCGCGGGGACGAGGGTCCCGCCGCGCCCCGACGAGGTGCCCCTGCACGTGCCGAAGGCGCGCCCGCCCGCGCCGAGCCCGGCTTCGCTTCCTCGCGGCCGCAGCACGCTCCGCCACCCTGGCCTCCGATTTTGCCAGGCTGGCCTCCTCTTCTGCGGCAGCTCGCGGGAGCCTCCCGTGCCATCTTCTCGGCTCTTGCGAACCGACGCTGATCGACGCTGGTCGACGCTGAATCGACGCTGATCGACGGCAGACGACGCCAATCGACGATACACCGGCGCCATCCCATCGGCTAGCAGACGCTAGTCGTCTCTGATGCACCCGAAGGAGGGAATTGCGAGGGGACGCAAGGTTACCATCCCTGCATCTGCTCTACATCTCGAGGTCGAGTCGAAAAAGCAGCCGCATGGTGAAACTAGGAAGATCGCCCCCGACTCCCCGACGATCTGCGTTTTCAATCTGGGGGATCCTCCTCCACCTCGGCCTCTGGGGCCCTGGGCCCCGGGGCCATGAGAGATGATTCCCGCTTGAGAGCCCATCCCCCAGGAAGCAGTCGGGACCGCTGAGACCGCGCTTTGGCAAAATCGCATCGCCGCACGTCGGGGCCGTCGTCGTCGGCCATCCCGGGGCGTGTCCCGGCTGGGTGTTCGGGGCGCCTCGGGAGGCCGGAGAACCTTCCCCTCAAGAGGACGAGGAGGCAGTGCGGAGGAGGAGGAGGACGAGAAGGAGGATGAGAAGGAAGAGGAGGAGGAGGAGGAGGAGGAAGAGGAGCAGAGGGGTAAGCCAGGATGAGAAGGAGAAAAAGGAGGATGAGGAGGAGAAGGAGGTGGAGGAGGAGGGAAAGGAGGGTAGGAGGAGGAGGAGGAGAGGTAGTAGTATAGTAGTATTAGTCTTATTATTAGTAGTATTAGTAGTGGTAAAATTAGTAATAGTAGTAGTAGTAGTAGTAGTAGTAGTAGTAGTAGTAGTAGTAGTAGTAGTCGTAGAAGTAGTAATAGTAGTAGTAGTAGTAGTAGTAGTAGTAGTAGTGGTGGTAGTAGTAGTAGTAGTAGCAGTAGTAGTAGTAGTAGTAGTAGTGTAGTAGTAGATAGTAGTAGTAGTAGTAGTAGTAGTAGTCGTAGTAGTAGTAGTAGTAGTAGTAGTAGTAGAGTAGTAGTAGTAGTAGTAGTAGTAGTCGTAGTAGTAGTAGTAGTAGTAGCAGCGCAGTAGTAGTAGTAGTAGTGGTCGTAGTAGCCGAAGTAGTAGTA